TCATAGGCCTTTTCCAAGTCCATGAACGTACAATAAAACTTTTGGTTTTTGGCAAAAAACTTATCCGCAATCATGCGCATGGAAAAGATTTGATCTGTACATCCCATTCCCCTTCTTAATTCCGGTTGCACATCCCAAATTATTCCATCAGTTTCTTTCATGACCCTTTCAATTATTACTTTAGCATACAGTTTTCCCACGATGCTAAGAAGGCTGACACCACGGTAGTTTTTACAGTCCTGCTGCGACCTTTTTCCTTTATATATCGAGACTACCACGGATTTGGACCGGAGTAGACTGGCTACTGGTACCCGCTTCAGTTCCTAGCGTAAATTAAACAAGGTGTGCAGCAGGCCTGCTACCACTTCCTCTCCAGCCCTTAGCATTTCGAGTGAAACTCTATCATATCCGGCAGCCTTACCTGCTTTCATGCTTTTCATTGCTTTCATTATTTCATCTGTACTTATCTCGCTACCTCTTTCCTCTTCTTTCGGAGTTTTTATTTCATTTAGTTCATACGTCGTCTCCTCACTCATAAACACGCTTTCAAAATATTCCTTCCATCTCTTTAAACTGAAAACTTCATCATTCAGAATATAGCCATACTAGTCTCTTATAGCATTAATTATAGGCTGTTTTGAATGTCCCCTGGCAGTTCTTACGAGTTTCCAGAACATTTTAATATTTGCCTGGAAGTTATCCGATATTCTTCTATCATTCTTATCCGTTCTTTCTTGCTTTTTCCTTTCAACTACTTCTTTTACTCTCTTATTTAGATGTTTAAAGACTACCTTTTTTCTTTCAATATCATCATTCGTACCGCTAGAATTACCAGCCTTTGTTGTTAGTAAATCTAGCCATGCTCTCTTCTTTGCTTCAACTTCCATACGTATCTCATCATCCCACCATAACGTATTATATTTCCTTTCATTCTTTCTCTTACTAACACCACATACTTCGGTTGCTACATCCACTAAACCTCTCGTAACATTTTGCCATACATTCTCCAAGTCTAACTCCTTCATACTGTTACGAGCTTAGGGTTCGTGACAATAAAAACTGCTGATTGAATTACTAAAATTAACACTTTAATTCACTTTACACTAATTAAAACTTAAAAGACACTAATAATTAATTACACTGATTCACTTTATTTCGCTCCGAAGCTTCGCTTCTCTCGCCAAATTCAATACTGCCCCGATAGCGGGTTGCGGCGGCTTTAAATACACCTTTTACACTGAAACATCTAGAATATTCCAGTAAATACGGGCGCCGAACGACCAGACACAGAAAGTTCGAGTGTGGTGCTTCTAGAAAGCTCAATTATTCTATTCGATACTAGATGGCACTGTTGGTCGAAAGATAAAGATTAACATTTTCTAGGAAGCCCTCCTCGCTCTGTTCCCCGACACTAGATGGCGCTAGTGCCAGGTACCTGACGTCAACTTAGGCGCGCAACACTGCCCCGTCCTAAGACATGCTCGTCCCGAGCATTATCGGCCCCATAATAACGCGCCAGGCGATCCACATGGACGATCTTAGAAGTCCCTCTTGCGCCTTTCTGTATCCGGTAGGTTACGTCGTTGATCCTGGTCATAATCCGGTACGGGCCATCCCATTTCGCTTGACGCTTAGGAGATTTCCCTTTGCTGCGGACTGGATTGTGCAACCACACTAGTGAAACTTCGTCGAATCCTTTGTTGTTCATTTTGCGGTCATACCGGGTTTTCATCTTTTCGGACATTTGCTGGCCCGATTGTCTGACGTGCTCATAAATGTCATTCATTTTGTTCCGCAAGTCATTTGCATAATTGGTTATACTGCGTGGGGCATCAGGTGGCATCCCGGTGATCTCTGCAGCAGCCGTAATTCTCTTCCAAAGTTTGCGAAAGCTGGTGTACTGCTGTACTTTCGTGAACAGCGCTTCGATACGGTTGTATGTGTTGTGTTGCCGATTCTGTCGTTCGTTCTACCATTCCATCATGGTGATCGTTGGTTCTTTTGGTTCTTTCTTTTTACTTAACCGGTAGTTCATAAAAGATTTTAAATTTCTTAGTAGTACAGACAGTACCTGTCAATGTCATACTTTATGGGCATGCCGACCTAATTAGTGCATGCCCAAAAAGTATGACATTGACAGGTACTGTCTGTACTACTAAGAAATTCAGGACTTCATAGGCGTAGTTTTTACTGACAGCTGTCGCAGAGATCAAGCTATCTTTTATGAACCATAGTTGCATTCGCACTGCTCCATTACAGTCTATAAAAGTCCAATGCTTAACACAGGCCATCCTCATAGATTGCCTCATGGGGGAACATGGGGGTTGGCAACCAGTTTTTTATTATCTTGCTGTCATCAGGAAAATGCCGCTGCCCATCTCCTGTTTTATTTTCCCTCCGTCGCCTCTTACGACATCCTCGGGACGATATGGGGTAGTGGATATTCTTACACCGCATAAACATCGGTGCAGGCAACACCGCATGCAGCAATTTGTAATTTCTTCCCCTTTATTTATTTAAAATTATCCCTAGATTTTCCCATATCATCACTAATATATTATTTTTGTTAATATTTGAATTATTTTGTATTTTCTCCTCTGCTCTCTATCTGCTATGTCATAGAGTGGTGATATAATATTAAAAACAATTTCTTTCTGAGACCCAAATAACCTTTGGGTGAACAGGATCTCAAAAAGCAAAAAAAATAAATAAAAATATATTCATATATTTTTTTTATATGAATAGTTTATTAATATTAATAAAATTTACTTCAAGAGCCGTAGTAGCTCAGATGGTTAACGCTCGCTGTAAATATAATAGAATGCGAGTAACCCGGGTTCGATCCCCGCCGGCACCAATGAAATTGTTAAATGCAATTTTAAGTGCTGATTTACCACGTGCTCGACGGTGAAGGAAAACATCGTGAGGAAACCTGCATGTCTGAGGAATAAGATAAAAATATTTCGAAGACATGTGAAGTTCGCCAACACGCATTGGGGCAGCGCGGCGGACACTTCCTTGCCCTAAAACCCTCTCAGAAATGAGGGGAGGCCTGTGCACAGCAGTGGGACGTATATAGGCTGTAACTTTACTTTATTTTTACTTCAACCAAGGGCATGGGTTACACGCACACATCTTTTTATTGAAGGTTGATCAACGAGCACAAAGTTCTCAAAATAGTAAGTGGGTACTGCAGCTCATAGACACTGACTACGAATCAAAATACAGGTTGCGTTTAAAGTCCCACGGGCACTATCTATGGCCCTAAAGAGCTAGATAGAGAGCCCCGACATTAGTAGTAGTTTCCACTGTTCTCTTCACTCCCTATGTGTAGAAATATTTTGAATAATTATAAATAAAACAATCGTTTACAGGTACTTTTGTACACTTTAACGCAATAACACAGTCTTAAAAACAAAAATAATTATACAATGAATAAAATGATGGTAACTTCAAATGTTATATTCATAAATCACAATATTTTACTGACTTGAACACGTCGACAAAACTAATTTTAAAACTTTAACACCATCTAGCGTTTTGAACAATACCCAATTCAAAATACAACTATAAAAATGAAACAAAAACTGCATTTAGCACCACCAATATTAGTTTTAGTATGTAACATAAATCTAAGATAAATTAATATTTATACAAATTTACATAATATGCTACATATATGTAGGTAACCTGCAATAACTTTAGATGGGATCATTAAAAAATGACTATTATTATTGAATCTGATTGAGTTTTAGACTACTGTAAAAATACTCTATTTTAATTTATAAAACACGTGCGCAGCTCACACGCGGTAGAAGTAAAACATTCAAAAAGGGAAACCGAGATATTATAAACACTGTATACTGTATTTTATCTCATTTTCTCGCAGGCTTAAACCTATAGATGTATATGTTTGTCTCCTTTTAGTGTCTTTTTTGTTTCAAACCACACACAATTCTAAAGTTTTCACTTCAAAAATATCTGCAGTAGGTTGTAACCCCCCTCCCCCCCAACAAGCTTTCAACTGACCTGAACTGCCTCCTGGCGGCTCAGGCCGAGCCTACTTAACACATCCCTTAATCTGACTTAGTTAGGCACACTTCTAAGCGGCTTTTCGCCGCGTGCGCCCTCCTTTCTGCCAAGGAGGGTCGCGTCCGTATACGGCTTAGAAATCTCTCGTCAGGTCAGTAAGCCAATCCCTAAAGGTGGAGTTTAGTGGGTAAAAGTCTCCACATAACCACGCAGCCGGCTGCGTGGTATGCTATGAGCATTCCCCACCTCCCTCCCCCGTTACCGGAGGGTTGTCCTTAATTGCTTTGGGCGCAAGAAAAAAGTCGGTTGTACTTTAGAGAAATTATGTTAAAATAATTCTCGTTCCTTTTTGGAATAAAAATAAGTTACCAGGTGTTTCTTTTTTAGATGTTTCAATGGAAAAGGTCCTATATAAGGCCGTTAAGGACCGCGACCGAGTCAGTATTGAGTTGGCAATACAAGCGAATAATTCTAAGTGATATAACGTTTGTAGTTTGAATAAAAAAGATTTAGACTTGTAAGCCTTCATGAATAAAATAAATAAAACAGTTTTCTTTGCTACCATGAAAATACTATGAAATTAGCTTTTAGTAGTGTTATAGACAACCAAATCTAAGAAATACCTTTTGACGTTTCACATTAATCATTCCGCAATAACTTTTCACAAGCGTACTCACACGATTTAAAATAAACTTTTACGTAAATCCGAATTATGAAGTTATCTATATTTCATTACAACGTATATACTAGTCGTTCACTTCAAGAATTCCGTTACCTCCCGCCGCGCCCAATCATTCCGCGCCTCAAGCGTCGCCCTTTTAGTACCGATAGCAACGTCGAAGTGTACTTACGTCCGTTTTTTATGCTCCCGTACGTTCTCTAGTTTGTTACTGTTTTTGCTGTTGTTTTTGTTACTGTTGATTTTTTGTTTTTGTTTCTGTTGATATTCGTTAATTTGTTCTGTTACAATGAGTAAAAGAGGAAAGGTCTTGCACAGTGGCGAACGCAATTTATTATATAAGATAATGACATTCTTTGAACAAGAAAAGGTTGAAAAGCAGTTGATAACGCCTTATGATGTTCACGATGTCGTAGCTATGAAAAGTATTGGCAGATTAAAAAATGAAAACTCACGTGATACTTGTGGCAGCACACTGCTCACACAGCCCGATGCACCGTCGGAAATAGAAATTAAGTTGTTGGAAAATGAAAAGAAGTACCAGGCGCTATTAAAATCATTCGATAACGTTATCAAGAGAACTGCGGCCGCCACTGGTATATCTGAACGTACTTTGACCGTTTCTACACAGTTAAAAAGGAAGTTCCTACGCTGCGCAAGATATTAGCAGAAGCAAAGAAAGACTTCAATTTTCCTGGGCAAAAAGTCACTCTCTGGAAAATTATAAAAACGAATCATGGATATAAGTTTACAAAATGTAAAAATATAAGACAATATCTTATTCAGAAACCGGATATAGCAGCATGCACGTTACTTGCTGAGATTACGTGATTATGATGAACAGGGAGTCTATAAAAAACCAGTCATATATTTGGATGAAACGTGGATACACAGCCACTATACCGTTTCAAAATGCTGGCAAAATGCAACTGATGCAAGTGTAAAAAAAGAATTTCAATCCCGGACAACGTTGGATTGTGGCATGTCCATGCTGGCAGCGAGAATGGTTTTGTCAAAGGTGCCGAACTCCTTTATAAATGCAAAAGCGCTGCAGGGGACTACCATAATGAAATGGACGCAAATAATTTCAAAAAGTATATACAGGAAAAACTCCTACCCAACTTACCCCCCAATAGCATTCTTGTACTTGACAATGCACCGTATCACAGCCGCCAGATTGATAAACCACCGACTTCAGTGGCACGCAAAGAAGTTATGCAAAAATGGTTGCAGGAAAATGGTATATCCTTTGACCCAAAGATGACGAAGCGAGAATTATACTATGTAGTATGTCGTTCGAAGCCTACCAAAAAATATGAAATTGACGAAATTGTCCAAAGTCATGGACACGAAGTCTTACGCCTACCACCGTACCAATGTGATTTGAATCCCATCGAGTACGTGTGGAATCTAGTGAAGCAAAAAGTAGCCGATAAAAATGTAAGCCAGTCTGAAAAAGAAATACAAAAACTCACTCTGGAAGCTATTAATAGTATCTCTGTAGAGGACTGGAAAAAAGAGGTAAACCACGTTGACCGTTTACGGCAACAATATTGGGAAAGCGATAGGTTGCAAGAACTCAACGAAAGAGAATTGATTATTTCGGTGGGCGGAGAGACTGATGACAGTGACACAGAATGGAGTGATGACAGTGACACAGAAACAAGCGATTTCGAAAATCTTTAATTTGATATATTTAAAATGTAAAATAAAACTATAAAAAATATTTTATTTTATCGAACACGTTATTATTTCATCATCATCATCATTCAAAAAATATTTTATTTCATCGAACACGTTATTATTTAACTTTATTGAAAATATGAATACTAAAAAACATAAACATGATGACTTTTTTCGTCTACGGTACCGTCAGCTGTGACGTCGTAACGGTCTACGACGGCAAACTCGAAATGAACGCGTAGTAGTTTTCTATCACTAATTTAAATTCGAATCTTTCAAGCAAAGCAAAATATTTAAAAAAAAAAACAGTATCAACCTTTTTATTTGACGTCTTTTCAATGATATGTCGCTATATACATTGCCGTAGTGTTTGAATGATTAAAATTCATTGTTATGCGAATAATCGGCAAAAATATTCAAAAAATGGAATCATACATTTTTTTAATGTATTATTTGTTTAATTTAATTTTTATTTTTAATATTCCTTAAAGTAAATGAATTATGAATAAAACATATTACTTTTGTTTTTACTTTGTCTACATAAATCTGAGTAGGCAAAAAACTCATATACAAGGCAATAACAATTCATAGAAAAAACCACTACTTACGTAATTTCAATATCCCGCCATTTCGGGAGCTTACTGCGCGTAATTTTGTGATTTTGTGTTTGTGTTCTTATTTTGTGACTCGGCTTTAACTTTTTTGACTGTTTCTTTTATATTCATTGAAGCATGTGCCCAAGTCACAAAGGATCATTGGGCAAAAGTGGTAAAAAAACAAACACATAAATATTATGGATGATTTTGAGAGAGACATTAATTTTGACTGCATTATTGAAAATCAAATAATAATTAAATCTAAAGAACGACAGCTCAACTAGTTGTACTGAAAGTGATTGAATAATTTTGTTTTTAATCTAGTTTCAATCTTAATTTTTTATAACTGTGCCTCTAGAAATACACAGTAACAACAAATACGAAGAAACTGATAAATCTTGTGTTTTAAATTATTCGTTTTTAATATTTCTGGTATTATTCAAACCAAACTGTAAATGATTATCAACTCTAAATAATAGATATCGATTTTTTTTAAGAATCGAATATTGTACGTTCCCATTTTTTGGTTGGCATGCTTAGTGCAATAAGTCTGACAGCTGTCAAAATATATTTCTTAGATTTGGTTGACTATAATTTTCTAATTTTGTACTATAGAACACTGCTTAAAGCAACTTGATTCAGGAACAATTAAGTTAACATAGGTAACTATAAATGGCCAATTTCTTGTTTAAATATAGAATATACGTATATTGTTTTTGGTTGTAGCAGTCATATGACACACAACATTATATTATATTACATGACACACATTTCTATGTAATTTTGCATATAAGGTTGGTACTACATAAAACAGCTGTGCTCTTTCATACAAAATTGAGATTATTATGATTATAACAAAAATAAGATACGTATTTATCAAATTGCATTTTACATAGTTATGGGAGTTTAACACTAAACATAAAGCTTGGTTGAAAGTAGTTACATATTATTGAATGGAAACATTGTTATAAATTTCGTTGTTGTTTCAGTCTTGCCTTTTGTTCCTGTAAAAGAGAAAAAACAATTTCAATAACACTAACTACTACTATGCCAATTTTTCTTAAAATATAATTTGAATAAAACGCCGTAATCAGTGTGCAAGCATAGGCTCTGCACCAATAACCTACTAATGTAGTGAAGTATAAATGCAATAAAAATATTTCGAAAGCATTTGGTTTTGTTCATCGAGCATTTCATTTTGTATGTGGTAGAGCCATGTTGCAGCACAGAATACCAGCGTAAAATAGCAGCTCATTGGGCTGTGTTTCGTATGATAAGCGTGGAGAACCGGAGACCTTTTTCACTGGATACGAGGCATTCCATCTTAGTCCTCAGGGGTGACAACGCATGTGCATTTTAATTCTTAATCGAGAATAGATGTAGATGTCTGTGAACCACAAGTATCCATTTACCATCAGGTAGATTGTTCAGAGTGATTTGACTTGACACCCTAATTATATATATTTTTTTAAACGAACATCTACCTATTCATATATATATCTATTTACTATCTCTATATATTTACTAACTTCAAAACCATTCGTTGATGACATACATCTTTCACTCTAGAATAAATAATAATTTACTTATTCATTAAGCCTTTCTAAACATTATAGATTATTATTATATATTATTATATGATATATTTTCAAGTCTTACGAACTATTCCGATGATATCCCGGACGTCAGTCTGAGCAAGATTAGAATGGCTCTCCAGCACCTTAAAAACTGCAGGGCCCCCCAGGCGAGGATGGAATTACAGCGGAGCTTCTGAAAGCGGGTGGAACACCGGTACTTGAAGTCCTTCAGAAGCTCTTCAATTCCGTCCTCCATGGTGGCACTACTCCGGAGGCGTGGAGCAGAAGTGCGGTGGTCTTGTTCTTTAAGACAGGCGACAACGCTCTCTTGAAGAACTACAGACCGATTTCCCTTCTGAGCCGCGTCTACGTGCTGTTTTCGAGAGTCATTACGAATCGTCTCGCACGCAGACTCGACGACTTCCAGCCTCCCGAACAAGCCGGTTTCCGAAAAGGCTTCAGTGCCATAGACCACATACATACCCTGCGGCATATTGTACAGAAGACCGAAGAGTACAATCTGCCACTTTGCCTGGCGTATGTGGGCTATGAGAAAGCGTTTGATTCCGTCGAAATTTGGGCGGTGCTACAGTCCCTTCAGCGGTGCGTATATCGAAGTGCTGAAGTGTTTGTACAGTAGGGCTACGATGGTTATCCGAGTACAGAACCAGAGTTCGAAACGAAGACGTTTTCAAGCTACTGGACTGGAAAGGATACGGTATTAACATCAATGGCGAGTACATCACTCACCTTCGATTTGCCGACGATATAGTCCTTATGGCAGAATCGCTGGAGGACCTTAGCACTATGCTCAATGACCTCAATAGTGTCTCCCAACGGATAGGTCTTAAGATGAACATGGACAAAACAAAGATCATGTTTAATGTCCATGTCACACCTATGCCGGTAGTTGTTGGGAGTACTATGCTCGAAGTTGTTGACGAGTATACTACCTGGGACAAATAGCCGACTAGGTAAGTCCAATTTCGACCGAGAGGTCAATCGACGGATTCAACTCGGCTGGGCAGCGTTTGGTAAATTACGACACATCTTCTCGTCAGGTATACCTCAATCTCTGAAAACTAAAGTGTACAACCAGTGGTGTTGCCAGTGATGACTTAAGGATCTGAGACGTGGTCCTTCACTGCTGGCCGTATGAGGACGCTCAAGGTCGCTCAGCGAGCTATGGAGAGAGCTATGCTCGGAGTTTCTCTGCGTGATAGACTCAGAAATGAGGATATCCGCAGTAAAACCAAAGTGATCGATATAGCCCAACGGATTAGTAAGCTGAAGTGGCAATGGGCCGTCCATATAGCTCGAAGAACCGATAACCGATGGGGAAGAAAGGTTCTCGAGTGGCAGCCTCGTACCGGTAGGCGTAGTGTAGGGCGACCCCCCACTAGATGGAGTGACGACCTGGTAAGACATGCAGGAAGTCGATGGATGCAGGTGGCTCAGGACCGTGCTTTGTGGCGTTACTTGGGGGAGGCCTACGTTCAGCAGTGGACTTGTGAAGGGCTGTAATGATGATGATGATGATGATGATATTTTAAAGTGGTTCCAAGTGTGGATAGCCACATTTATACTTTATATATTGAGGGATTGATTACAAAATATTCACAGCGACAACATATTTTGATATTCTCCTGTCGGTGCTAAAGTGAATGTTACTTTTCTTTATGTATACACGGCGGACCGATCTCTCGTGAAAGTTTACCCAGTTTATGTGAGTGTTCAGTGGTAGGGCTGCAAGTAGTCGTCGGTGGAGGCTAGGTCGCGGCGCAGCCAGGCGGCGTTGAGGCGCACCGTCTCCAGCGCTTGCTGCACCGAGCGCTCGGTGCCCGGCGACTGGTGCGCCGCGAAGAACTCCTCGATCTCTTGCGCGCTCGCCTCCGACGTGAAGTTCTCCGTCGTCGATTTCGCGAGATGCGCGAGCAAGAAGCCGCCCTGTTCAAGAGTACACATATTTATTTAGAATATATTTTAACGATAGTGATGATGTTGATTCCATGTAGTGCTAGTGAGATGAGACAAATTGGGTAAATCTTCGCCGTAATGGGAGAAACCAATGGACTTTTACGCTTATGGCTAATAAAGAAAATGTAGCTTTGTCAGGTTAATCTTAAAGAGAAAGGTAACAGGAATGGATATGTTTATAAAATTCTGGAAGTTTTTGATGAAAAAATCTTCTTGAGAAGCTTGAAACTTCACAATGTGCTGCATCAACACAATAATATGTTCTTTTAAAGTTTCTTTTTATGGAATAAGAGTGACAAACTAGCACACAGTCCACCTGATGTTAGGTGGATGCTGTGACGCATCATTATCATCATCACCATTACAGCCCTTCACAAGTCCACTGCTGAACATAGGCCTCCCCCAAATAATGCCACAAAGCACGGTCCTGAGCCACCTGCATCCATCGACTTCCTGCATGTCTTACCAGGTCGTCACTCCATCTATTGGGAGGTCGCCCTACACTACGCCTACCGGTACGAGCCTGCCACTCGAGAACCTTTCTTCCGGTTCTTCGAGCTATATGGCCGGCCTATTGCCACTTCACCTTACTAATCCGTTGGGTTATGTCATGTCGGTCACTCTGGTTTTACTGCGGATATCCTCATTTCTGAGTATCACGCAGAGAAACTCCGAGCATAGCCCTCTCCATAGCTCGCTGAGCGACCTTGAGCGTCCTCATACCGCCAGCAGTGAAGAACCACGTCTCAGATCCGTAAGTCATCACTGGCAACACACTGGTTGTACAATCTAGTTTTCAGAGTTTGAGGTATACCTGATGAGAAAATGTGTCGTAATTTCCCGAACGCTGCCCAGCCGAGTTGAATCCGTCGATTGACTTCTCGGTCGAAGTTGGACTTACCTAGTCGGATTATTTGTCCCACGTAAACGTACTCGTCAAAAACTTCGAGCAAAGCGCTCCCAATAACTACAGGCATAGGTGTGACATGGACATTAAACATGATCTTTGTTTCCTCCATGTTCATCTTAAGACCTATTCGTTGGGAGACACCATTGAGGTCATTGAGCATAGTGCTTAGGTCCTCAAGCGATTCTACCATAAGGACTATATCGTCGGCAAATCTAAGGTGAGTGATGTACCCGCCATTGATGTTAACATCAATGGCGAGTACTGTACTGGAAAGGATTTTTTTTCGTGGGGAAATCCTCATGGATACCTTACGCTGCGGGGGCAACAAAAGGTTATGCCGGACTCCTACCGGCTAAAACCCCACGGTGGTCACCATCAGCGTATAAGAGGGGTCCCGGGATCTCCGTTCGGAACGCAACCGGGGCCCCTCCATCGCTTTGCTACACTAGTAGCACGTCCCAGGGGCAGTACTTTCTGCCCCCAGCACCCTCGCAGTGCTAGCACGATGTCTCGAGACCACTTTCGAGCCATCGTCCTCCTCGGGGGTTACATAACTAGGCGCTCGAGGCCCTCGCCCCGAGCGTCTGCAACCCCGGAGGCCCCGGAGGGCCGTGACGAACGCCTTGGTGACGTCGTCTCCGCGCGGGATCCGCCCTCTCCCGATCCCGCTCTGAAGCCTCCTTCTGAATCATAACAGATTCACAGAAGGTGGCTACGGCCCTCCACGCCGAATCCCCGCTCAGCATCGCCGACACAACTGCTGGCAGGGAGAGGTCCCGTCCGATGCGGTTCACCAGGATCGTCCGTTCCCGTTCCCACGCAGGGTATACTGCGAGTGTGTGGGAAGCGGAGTCCTGGTCCCTTCCACCACAGTGGAAGCAGTTCGCCGTTGCCTCACGTCCAATCTTACACAGATAATCACCGAAGCACCCATGCCCGGTAATTATCTCAGTAAGTCTGTAGGTGAGTCTTCCTGCTCGTCGCTGCATCCAGGCTTCGAAGACCGGCAGGATTGCTTCAATGACGCGTCTGCGTTCATAGCGCTCCTCGAGTCGAGAGCGCCATGATGCCAGAGCGTTTTGTCGTTCCTGCCGTTTAATTGATTGGAGCGCCTCTTCTGGCTCACTACCACCACTCTGGCGCAGGGCACGGATACGAACGTACACCCTCGCGTCCATTTCCGCCAGTATATCTAGTGGTGGAAAGCGAGCCAGGATAGTCGCCGCCTCAAAGGATATTGTGCGGTATCCTCGTACGATCCGTATGGCCATCCTCCGCTGAACACTGTAGAGTTTAGTTCTACAGCGTCGGATGGCCAGCCTTTTTGCCCATACAGGCGCTCCATATAGAGCTACGGATCGCATAACTCCCGCATAGAGGCCATGTACTTCCTCCGTCGGTCCCCCTAGATTGGGCAGCAGTCTATGCATAGCACCCGCTACCCTTTCGATCCGGGGGACTAGGCGCTCGAAATGTTCTTCGAAGCCCCAGCGACTGTCCAGGTGGAGGCCTAGGTACTTCATGTACCTCCCCACTCTGACTTCAGACCCACCCACGCGGATACACGAGTCGGGTGGTTCCCTGCTCCTTGGTAATTTATGGAACCATATGGCTACGGTACGGCATAAGGATACGGTATTAATACCATATCCTTTCCATTCCAGTAGCTTGAAAACGTCTTCCAATGCAGCGGTGAAAAGTTTCGGGGATATAACGTCACCCAGACTTACACCTCTTTGCAGTTGGATAGGTTTCGAACTCTGGTTGTGTACTCGTATAGCCATCGTAGCTCTACTGTACAAACACTTCAGCACTTCGATATAGCGACAGTCAACTTGGCACCGTTGAAGGGACTGTAGCACCGCCCAAATTTCGACGGAATCAAAGGCTATCTCATAGTCCACATACGCCAAGCAAAGTGGCAGATTGTACTCTTCGGTATTCTGTACAATCTGCCGCAGGGTATGTATGTGGTCTATGGTACTGAAGCCTTTTCGGAAACCGGCTTGTTCGGGAGGCTGGAAGTCGTCGAGTCTGCGTGCGAGACGATTCGTAATGACTCTCGAAAACAGCACGTAGACGCGGCTCAGAAGAGAAATCGGTCTGCAGTTCTTCAAGAGAGCGTTGTCGTCTTTCTTAAAGAAACTGACTTTCTTGAAGAAACAAGAATCACCGCACTTCTGCTCCTCGCCTCCGGAGTAGTGCCACCATGGAGGACGGAATTGAAGTGCTTCTGAAGGAATTTAAGTACCGGTGTTCCACCCGCTTTCAGAAGCTCCGCTGTAATTCCTGGCGCCCTGCCGTTTTTAAGGTGCTGGAGAGCCATTCTAATCTCACTCAGACTGACGTCCGGGATATCGTCGGAATTGTGTCGGATAAGACTTGCTCTTGGATCGTTACTCACACTTGCGTGTGGCTCCAACGATGATATGTACAGCTGCCCATAGAACCTCTTAATCTCACTCAAAATCTCAGGTGTCCCGGAAACGATGCTGCCATACTCAGTCTTCAGCTGTGACAGTTGGCTCTTTCTGGCAGACAGATCTCTGGCAAAGAATTTGGAGCACTGGTTCCGCTCGATCGCTTCTATCGCTATCGCGGCCGAATACAAAGATAACTGGCGAAATTGAATGTATTTCTCTTCACTACAACTTTGACCTGAAGTAATTCTAAGCGTTAAAACATTTTTTTTTAGGTTTGTTCGGTTCCTTCACTAGGTGCCCACAGTTTTAAAATTTTAAAATAAATGAATATACCAACGAATAAAAAAATGTTAAGAAATGATATTTAAAAATGATTGTTCTTCCAAAACTCTGTGAATTTTAATTTAGTTTGTTTTTCAGTGCCTTCATTATTTTCGATACAAAATATTATTTATTAACATAATTCGTTTTAATTAAAAACATCTAATAATAATATCGTATATTGCCAGATAAAACTTTGCCGTAATAAATTACAAGGCGCTTCGACGTGTGGCGTAAGGTGACAACAGTCATTGTGTCTGTAGCGAAAATCGTTAATTTAGTGTTTTATACGCGTTTAAGTGACTATAAATGTGAATATGGGTAGGAAAAGAAATAAATGTTACCTAAGTGATAAAACAAAGAGAGTTTATCGCATGAACGCTGCTCGAATGTTATATTTTGAGCTTACTTATATTTTTTGTAAGGTAATTTTTTGTTTGAGGCAGCCTAATAGGCTGCATTTTTACTCATTTATATTAAGACAAACTGATCATTTATACTTTTCTAGTTTCAAGTGAGAAACACCAAAAATGTAAATATCAAGACCGAGTCGGAAAAGAATGTACCGCAAATAATGTCATAGTCAATGTATTGTCCGAAAGCATGGGGTAAGTACATAATTAAGAAAAACCTAAATACTTCGGATGTGAAGTGATTGACCAGTCACTTCACATCCAGATAGTTTCACTTCACAGTCAGAGTAGTCTTGTGAGAATTTACATACACAGTACCTATCCCCACTATGGGGCAATCACCGACTTTTTAGTTTTCTTTTCTTTATTATTTATGCAATTTGCATTACGCATCTTGTAAGACTCACAAGAACAAACATTTTCAGTCATATGAGGTTCTTTACGTACGATGCACCAATTAAGAAAAAAAAAATCGATATCAATTCAATAACTTTTCGAACAATATTTTATAACGAATAAAGTACAGAATTTATAATCTATAGGAACTAATATATTATACTCGTAAATAAGAAAGATTTATTAAGAAGTAAGCAATTCTCTATGTGTTGTTCATTACTCTGCATCTGAGCTAGCTCAGTCAAATAATATAATATAATAAAAGTCCGTACGGCTTTGATTATATTATACATGTCTATATAAACAAAGCGTACGGGTAACATACGTGATGTTCGATAGACGGCGCGTGGTTTGCTCCGAAACGAACAAGGTCAATCGCGTCGTATTCGGCCTTAATACGAGCAGTAATAAAGTTGCGTAAGTCTCGCCGCATGCATTTGGAGATCTGTCTGTTCAGTTGCCTGTATGCTGTCAAATCTGTTGACGATTGCAGCCTCATCTCCCGTCTAACAGCCATGAGATTAAGAGTGTGATCGGAAAGTTTTTGTGTTCTTCTGCGGCGGGTCTTGCAGAACTTAGCTGCGACCGCATGGACAGTTTCCACGAGCTTGTCAATCATATCGTCCACTGCATTGAAAACTTCTAGGCACTGAAAGCGGTTACGTAACTCGAGTTGAAAGGTTTCGGGATTCTGGATTAGAGCACGAGGGAGACGGAGCGTTGACTTCATTAGAGGAGACCTCTCCAACTTAACGTTTAGGTTCAGTGTGCCTCTAACCATTCGGTGATCGCTGCCAGTTTTCACCCTTGCGATCACCGAGACATGACTGAACAGTTGGCGTCTGGTCGTCATGTCGTCATTTTATCGCGTCGGGACTCGACCAGTTCCACTTTCTGTGGGGCCGCTTCTGGAAGAAAGAGTTCATCATAAAAAGTCCCTCTTTCTCCATGAAATCGGCCAGCTTCTGGCCCCTTGGGTTCCGTTGCCCTATCCCAAAATTCCCTACCTTCAGCTCACCGTTCTTTCTTTTGCCCAGTTTTGCGTTGAAGTCTCCCATTAACACCGTAGATTAAGTTTTGGAGGAATGCATGGCTCTAGAAATATCCTCATACATTTCCTTCACCTCCTCATCGGGATGTTCCGACGTTGGCGCGTAAACCTGTATGACATTCATTGAATACCGTTTGGTGATTCTAAATATAAGGTACGCAACCCTCGACGATACACTTCCAATCTTTAAAACGTTGTTAACGAGAGACTTGTGAACGATAAATCCAACACCTCCTTGGGACAGATGGTCACCCTCCCGGTGATAAAACAAGTTGCCGGATTCGAGAATCACTGTGTCCTCCCCCTCTCTTCGGACCTCGGATAATCCTATAATATTCCAGCGCAACTTGTCTATCTCTTCTCCAGCTCCAGGATCTTCTCGTCAGTCCTTAGGGTGCGTGCGTTATATGTTGCCAGGTCGAGTCATCGTAGGTGGCAACCGAACCTCTACCGGAGATTCTTAGCACCCCCCTTCCCCGCAGTTACCATGGTGCCCACCGTAGCCAGGAATAGCGGGGCCGCCGGGGACTGGGGTCCGTCTATTTGTGTAATTGTTCATGGGGGGTATATTGCCATAGTTGCCACGGTTGGCGAGCGGGTTAGCAACCGCAGTTTTTCTGCCTATTTCCCTCTATCGCCTTTTACGACACTCACGGGAAGATATGGGGTATTGGATATTCTTAACCGCCACCACACGGCTAGATTTATCCTCGATTAAGAATCAAAACGCAGGTGCGTTGTCACCCCTGAGGACTAAGATGCAATGCCTCCTTTCCAATCTACTATTTTATGCTGGTATTCTGTGAGAGCGTGGTCCTTCCCCGGTCGACCCATTCATGCTACAACTGCTGCTGCGTGACTCTACCATGTATAAACATGTTGCTATGGACAATAGTTGTGTGAATCACATATTATTTTTTGCATGTCATCATTGTAAGTTAGCATTGTCTTATCCCTTTCAATAGTTTAATTGAAACTAGATTAGACAAGCAAACACAAGTATGCGTAAATTTTTCTTAAGTTCACACCAAAATTTATATTGCCAACATCAGATGTACATCAATCTACAAATAAAAAACGCCAGTCCACCATTTAACGCATATCTATTTTTTTATAGGATAGGGTGACAAACGAGCACACAGTCCACCTGGTGGTAAGTGGTTGCTGCGGCCCATAGACATCTATATCTATCCTCGATTACGAATCAAAATGCAGATGCGTTGTCACCAGTGAGGACTAAGATGGAATGCCTCGTTTCCAGTAAAAAGGGTCTCCGGTCTCTACACTCAGCATACGAAATACAGCAGCGTTAAGCTACTATTTCACGCTGGTATTCTGTGAGAGCGTGGTCCTTCCCCGGTCGAGCCGACCCATTCGTGCTACAACTATACTACTAATATAATTGCAGCATGGCTCTACCACGTATAAAATTATAATTTTATACATTTTCATTATTCATTAATTAATGTTAAAAGACGGAAGACATACAGGTGGCTCAAAACCTTGTGTCCTTGCGGGAGACCTATGTTCAGCAGTGTACTTGTAGAAGGGCTTGAATGATGTTGATAATGATTATAAGGAGAGAAAGTACCTAAATTTCACTTGTAGGAAGTAATCTCAAGAACTGTTGATCCTATTCTAAAAAATCTCTGATAGAAAGCTACACTATTCACGAGTGACACAGGCTATGTATTATAGGGATCTTAATTCTTTAGCAGCATGAAATCTGATTATTAGTTTCAGTCGAGTTGCCGAAAATGAGGCATTTAGCTGCGTTATTGTCATGTTCTAACTAAATGGATTGAAATAAATTATTACAATTTATGGCAAGCTTAAAGTTAAGTTACAGCCTATATACGTCCCACTACTGAGCACAGGCCTCCGCTCATTTCTGAGAGGGTTTTAGGGCAAGAAATTATCCGCCGTGCTGCCCCAATGCGTGTTGGCGAACTTCACATGTCTTCGAAATATTTTTTATTTTAAGTGCTGATTTACCACGTGCTCGGCGGTGAAGGAAAACATCGTGAGGAATCCTGTCATGTATTGAGGAATAAGAAAAAAAAATATTTCGAAGACATGTGAAGTTCGCTAATACCCATTGGGGCAGCGCGGCGGACACTTCCTTGCCCTAAAACCCTCTCAGAAATGAGGGAAGGCCTATGCCCAGCAGTGGGACGTATATAGGCTGTCACTTTACTTTACTGTTGTTATCTCGTTTCGTTTGTAATATGGTATTTAAAGTTGTTTGTAATGTTGTTATTTCAAACAATATTTTTATAATCGGGCAACACAGACAGCTATTATATAATAATTATGATTACCTGGTAGCGATCCATCAATTCCTGCCAATGATCTTTGAAGAACTGCCATGCAGGGTCACGTCCATTTTTACTTACAGCCACGTATACTATTACAAATACAGTATCTTGAGAGCGGACTTCATCCTATTGAAATGGACATATTTTAATAAATTTATAAAATAAATACAATTAAAATACTACTAAAAGATAACTTTAATCATAATACCAAATAACGAGACAGTATCATTGACTTTACCCTCGAGGAATTTTCTATGATCGGTTTTAATGGGTTTAATTTTTTATCGCGGAACTCTAATAATTTTTCTAAAATAAAAGTAACCTAAGTTACTCAATATAAATTAAAGCTATAAGTGCTGTATATACTTTCATATTCATTTAATAAAATGCTGTTATTTTGACATTGTTTTTTTTTTTATTTTGACACATTATTTTGACAAACAGACACTTTCATTTTATTTATTTTTATAGATACATGCAATAATAAATAATATATTAGGGGTGGACGCTGCGAGCGTTTTGTGTTCTGCCACGATGAAACTGTTTTACATCCTGGGTGCAAACAGTCTTCGTTGACAAACCAGTCTTCAAATTATTTTGTGCGATTTTTTACTTTACACCTATGAAAATACAGACGAGAATGCAATGATTCAACTATCTCGTCGTCGCGTCGCCGTTCTTAACTTTCCACGTTATATTGTAGTCTTTTTTTCTGCGTTCATTTTCACAAACGTATACAGGGACTAAACACTCCTTACAATAAAATGTGAACTTTTTGTCAATGAAATACAGTCGCTAATGTTAATGGTAATGCTAAGTCTATACCAGCCAGTCCTAAGCCTGGAAAAGTATAAAAAGAAGTTCATTTCAACGTTAAGTAAAGTCGATCGATAAAATTAATTATTTAGTAAACCATTTCACATTTCAAATCGTCGATAGTTGTGCAACAATGTCACTCGACGAAACCGCAATTCTATTACATGTTTTCGTCGTCGGGAAAACGGTTACGTTTCGTCCGTCAAAAACTCGACAATGACCCACTACTATAATATATATCCCCATGTATTTATTCTTTAAAGTAAATATGTTGATAATGGGATGAATAACTTATATAAACTGACCGATATAGCGAAGTCAAGGACACGTTTAAGGAGCGCAGGATCTTTAATGGCTCCAAGCGCGCAGCTAATACGGTCTTTCTCCTCGTGCAAGTCAGCTGCACGGTACAATTCCAGAAACCGCTGAAATGTAGCTTCATCTGCTTCGGCCAGCACAGCTCGGTAACATTCTAACCGCAAATCAGCCGGGAGTACGCATACACCCGATATGTGCTTCTCGAATCTGCAGGAATTTTGAGAATCAGAGAGCTCATATGATAATGTTATGTCTTTACCTATGAAATTCCCATTTTGTTTCCCAACTGAGCACTTTAAACTGTAATGGTTAGACTTATTGTATATTATAGTTTGAACTGTAATGGTTTGACTTGGAATTCTAAATTCCAATTAATTTTACTTTTAAGAGATGTTGTTTCGTTTTCAAAATATATTATTCAGTTATATCTTTTTTCTGTCCAAACTTGCATCACATTATTAACGAATTGGTATAGAAAGAAGAATTTTCTAGTATAATTGTTACTTGTGATTGAAGACTGAATCAATTCCAACAATCGCAAGTATATATCACAACAGTAGTTATCCATGTCTCAAACCAAAATAGTCTAAAAGAAAAGATTGCAAAGAACCTGGGTTGAAAAGTAGACCACAAAATGAAAAACTGGTGGAAGCTGGCACTCAAACAACCCAGATTGGGGAACAGCTCTTCACTATTGGTTCTTCATGACAACGCCCGGCCACATACTGCTCAACTGACGTTGGCAGAGACGTTGGTAGATTAAAATATTTTAGTATATTCTTCAAACTTTGCCCCAACGGATTTCCTTTTTTTCTCATTGTGTGAAGTTTAGATAGTCTGATTCAAGAATCAAGCTGTGTGCTGGCGACGCGAGATAAATATCTCACTAAATCATTCATTGTTTCTTAAGATAAATTTAAGATTTATGTTAATTTTATAAAATGCTAATTTTATAAAATTTCTGAGAAACAAAAATATACGTATAAACTTATAGCAGGCCTCTGTCACCCTTGCTACCTGCGTGAAATAATTACCTACAATCGCGAGCCAGCCAGGGTAACGTCGGATGTCGGAGCTAGCGCGTTGTAGGCGATTGAATGTTAAAGTTTTTTTAACGCTGATTACGTAAGTAGCTTTTTTTGTAAATACTTGTTGAATTAGTTTTTGTTTAGTATTTAGTATATTTAATTGTAGGATAAAATGGTTGAAAAGGTTTTATATATAAAGGTTTTATATATAATACCTCCACTAGTCTTATTAAAACCGCCACAATAGGATTTTCTACAGTATCGTAGAGGCAGTTTACAAACATCCACACAAGGACAAACATCCAGACCCGGAATAATTATTTGCGTACGGGATTCGAAACCGCGGCCTCCTGCGCTACAACACATTGCCAATGCTAAGCCACTGCGGCACGGAGCCGTCAAAAATTAGACTAGAGAAATCAACACAGCTAAAAATAAGTATGTAAGTACTTTAGATTGACGACGTTTCTCTCAGTCCTTGAAGTGGGGAACCTGATAAAGGTATTGGTTATTATTTATTGACTGTTAAGTGCCTCCGTAACTTGAGAGGCACATTTGATAACACTTGTTTGGCCCAAGTTCTCCCCCATACCGCCTAAACGTGGATAAGAGCCTATTGCTTTAAATGGTAAATAACAAACAACCTAAAACTTTGAAACACAACAGTGAAAAAAAATTCTGAACGTTGGTACATAATAACTACAGCAGGTACTTTTAATTTTGAGCATTATTTTTTATACTTTAAGCTCTAAGCTCCCTTCCCTTTTACTCCCTCTGAAGTTTGTTTTCAGAGCAAAATTAATGGCAAAGGAATTTAAATACATTGTTACCAATTTATATCTTTTTTTAAATTCCATTTCTGAAATATCCGTAAGTTCTTCAGTTCGCCGAATAAAATTCGTTAAATAATACCACTGGAATGATTAAGACATTTAATTGAAACAGCTATCAAAATAAAATTATTATTAATCAATAAAATATTTGAAATAACGGTATTTATATAATATACAAATTACTACAACTACTAATTAATTCGCGTATATGCTTTCTTACCTTGACTGCCAAACGCCACGCGAAGTAATAAAAAGCCGTGGATCTAATTCTATTTGTTCTTAATAAAAACATTTTAAACTTATATCAACAAAAAACGCAGGGAAACCTAAAACTTAAACTTCTCGATAGCGTTCTCACCATAAAAATGTCAGTGAGAACGTTTTCGTAGTTCTCTAAAGTGGATGAACGATAACGTACGTCAAAAAAAGAGTCGTGCTTCGGCAGCACGTATAAGTAATAGACACAAAATGTGTGGAAATCGGTCCACACATTTTGTGTCTATTACTTATACGAGGGTGGATTGAAAAGTACTCGGCCTAACACAGATCCATTCAATTCTAAAAATCAAATCTACCCACATTATTTAGTTCAGTTCAGACTAGTTCATTGTGTGAAGTTCGAAACGTGTGCGATAATTAGTTGTGATTTTATAAATTTATTAACAAAGTAATCGGACATAATTTCCGCGAATGGAGCAAATCGAGCAGCGTGCCGTCATTAAGTACCTCCATAAGAAGGGGCTATCACCAAAAGCCATCCATGATGACATGGTCAGTACATTAGGCGATTGTGCTTTGTCATATTCATCCGTCAAAAAATGGATAGCAGAATTTAAGCGTGGTAGAGAGAGTGTGAAAATGAACCCCGCTCTGGAAGGCCTTCGACGTCAACTACTGACGAAAATATTAAAAAAGTACTTGATTTAATAATGGGAGACCGCAGATTAAAAATTAGAGAGATAGCCGAGATTATAGGCATCTCTTATGAACGAACTCAAAACATCATTGTCAACGAGTTGGGTTTCCACAAGGTGTCTGCGAGGTGGGTTCCGCGACTGCTTTCAGTTGAACAAAAAAGGACGCGATTGACTATTTCACGCGACTGTTTGGAGTTATTTGAAGCCGATGCAGATGATTTTTTGAATCGTTTTGTTACTATGGACGAAACATGGGTTCATTACTGTACACCGGAAACAAAACAACAATCAAAAAAGTGGAGAGGACCTGGTTCACCACCCCCTAAAAAGGCTAAGTCGATTTTGTCGGCAAATAAGGTGATGGCTTCAGTATTCTGGGACTCGAAAGGTGTGATTATGATTGATTATCTTGAAAGGGGTCAGACTATAAACTCTGATAACTACTGCACCTTACTACGTCGTTTACGAGAGGAAATAAAAGAAAAATGTCGAGGAATGCTCAGAAGAAAAGTCCTGTTTCATCAAGATAACGCCCGTGTTCACACGTCAGTACAGTCAATGGCTGAAATTCACAACTGTGGCTTTGAACTGTTACCGCATCCGCCGTATTCACCTGATCTGGCACCATCAGACTTCTTTTTGTTTCCTAACCTAAAAAAAGCACTTGGGAGGTCAAAGATTTTCGACAAACGACGAGGTCAAAGCAGCGGTAGACGCATATTTTGACTCTAAGGAAGAATCTTTTTTTTTCAACGGTCTAAATGCTTGGAAGGGGAGGTGGCAAAAGTGTATTGAACTTGATGGTGATTATGTAGAAAAATAAAAATATAACTGATTTAGTATGTGTTTATTTTCTTTGTTAGGCCGAGTACTTTTCAATCCACCCTCGTACTATACGATACCTATGAATAACGCAACGTTAGATATTCGTGCTTCTGAATTTTAGTTCCAAATACGCCCCCGAAGCGCTGTTCAAATTCCCATACAAAATTTTACTGAAACTAAACTGTCGCGTAAACTATACGATAAATCAAAATTTTCGTGCTCGGGGTACTGTACACTTGAATAAGAGATAAGCATTCGGGCTGCCGACGACTTTAGCCACAGTTTGTTAAAAGTTTTCGCATAGTGGACTCGATAAGAATTCTTGACGCAATTGTTTATTATTCGTGCTCTGGGTACAGCAACAGTTTCCAGTTATAAATCAAAAAAGAAATCGAAATTAGGGCAAGTAAAGTGAAAGTTATAAAAGTAGTGAAATTTCAGTATTGCATTTCTAAGGCGCATTTATGAACAATTATTGTTTTTTTGAAGACACCTTCAGTGTCCACCTTAAAAGTAGGACGGTAAGGGAATATATACAGTCCACTAAGTACATGACTGATGCCAGGACCGAGACCATTCCTTGAGGGCCCGTAATCTTAGTCGTCAACCCCTCATTTTCCAAAAAGCGGTTAAGGTTCTAAGTCGAACGTCTTATTCAGGGATCATGCCCACCGTTTTATTTCCCGAATCAATGAGGTGTGGTATAGGAAAGGGAGCCAGTAATTGGTTGATCACTGCTGCAGGCGTGAGATGAAGAACGAGACCGTCTTTTTCAAGGTGTGATATATAAATATAAGCATGCCAGACACCCAAGCAGTAATTATTGTTCTAGATATATTGTTCTAAATATCGCGGAAAAAGACATCTAATGATTGATACTGTACTCTTTTTTTATATGTATAAAGAAGTTAAATACTTTAAAAAAATGTACATACCGGCTCTTTGCTTCTTTTATAGTGTCTGGGTCTTCAAAGCTGATCATTTTATTTAGCACTAAGCTCCTGAGAAGTGTATCAAGATGACTTTCCTTTTCCTCTGCATCCCACCCTAACCTTTTGGTGACATTTGAGAAAAGTTTACGGCCATAATTCTTTAGAGGCTTGTCCAAAGCTGTGTATGAAAAAAGTGCACTCAGCTTAGACATACAATTTGATATTGAAGACCAAACTGTAAAGTTGGTTTCATTGCTGAATGCCTCCATGAGTTTCAGCGACTGTAACGAGAAAAGCATAAATATTTTATACACTAATATTCAGCATACCATTTAGTTTATTTTAAACAATAACTATTAAAATATTTTAATCTTCTCATTTTTTAAATTTCCTGTATTCTGAAAGTGTTCACATATATTTGCGCATGTACATATAAACACCCAGAACTATAACTTTTTTATTTGCATTTAAATAAATTGTATTTTTGTACACCGACTTTTATTTATAATGGCAATATTACAACCATTAATTATTAATGATATGCAGATCTCTGCACCGGTTCGCAAATTACATTAAAAACAAATGCAAAATTATATTTAAAAAAAAACAAATTTCCTTGAAAATCCCTAAAGAAAAAATATATAACGCATGACATGTTTAAGATTTCATCAGATATTTTTCTTGCAGATTAAGAAATAATTTTACTGATTTTTTTTGATTTTTTTTATAGGTTAGGGTGACAAACGAGCACACAGTCAACCTGATGGTAAGTGGTTGCTGCGGCCCATAGACATCTACATCTATCCTCGATTACAAATCAAAATGCAGATGCGTTGTCACCCGTGAGGACTAAGATGGAATGCCTCGTTTCCAGTAAAAAGGGTCCGGTTCTCTACACTCACCATATGAAATACAGCAGCATTAAGCTACTATTTCACGCTGGTATTCTGTGAGAGCGTGGTCCTTCCCCGGTCGAGCCGACCCATTCGTGCTAAAACTATACTACTAATATAACTGCAGCATGGCTCTACCACGTATATTAATTTTAGTTTATTAAGGTTTTAAAAGCACAATACATACCTCCGAGGTTTGTGTGTGACCAGCTTGGACAAGGGCGAAACAATCATCTAACAGGCCGAGTCGGTCTAGAGGCGGCAATGAGCCATCTCGGATAGCAGTCACTAGCTGTTCCAACATTACAGCTGAGTAGCGGGTGCGGTAATATCCCACCTGAATTAAAAGACCATTTAATTTATTTCTGAGATATAAAAATTGAATCTTAATGTTTGCTTTTTATTTCGTTATTATAACATTACAGTGTATTTTCATATTATGTGTCATTTAAGTGGCCAGAACCAGAATAATTTATTTCGTGAAGTATTCTAAAATAGATGTCAGCTACATACATTAAGTTTAACTACGTCTTACGCTGTGGGCATACGAAGTACAATATTTTTTTTCAAATCAATAGGGTATTTTACACCAAGTAAAAAAAAATCAAAAAATATAATATACCTACTTATACACACATTTATGATTTTGTAAAAAGTGAAGGAGAAATATTGATTATATTCATAAAAATGCATTATACATTGTATAATTCAATTTTAAGAATATTTTTTTTATCTGTGCCTCAAATCTGCAAAACGCTATCCGCCATATTAGAATCCGTCGTGACATCACTGGTTAAGTGAACTTGCTAACGTGCTGTGTGTTATTTCGCAATTTTTCAAGTTATCATTACGATTGTTGAGTTTTATTACGAATTTTATTGAAAAGGCATCATGGAAAATGGATTCGTAAAAGCAGAAAATACTAATCTACCAAGGATAAATACATTGATGGTGGCAAACTTTTTTGGCTTGCAATCCCTAAATATATTCTAAAAGGTGTAGTCTGCCTCGATTTTGTAGTGGATCAGGAATGTTTGAGGAATACCAAACAGATGGGTTTAATGTCATTATACGTAAAAAAAACCGCATCACTTATTAGCAGAGTACGAGTCAGCCACAACAGCATTCTGAGGACTGTAGCGGGCAGGTATACATATACACCGCCGTTGTGGAAATGTCTTGTGCAGAGACTGATCACTGGGCCCTATCCACCCCATGATGGTCTGTCTCGGCACAAGGTATTACTTTTTTCCCCTCGACTTAAGCAAACCATGTTTTACTAACCCCTATTCTTTTTATTATCATCTGGGATTAATTAAAACACTATTTGAATATGGGTGTAATATCCTATTAGAGTACATACCTAAAAAAACTATCACGTGTAAGTCACATATCGTGCATAGACACACACATGTGTGTGCGCGCACACGCGAAATTGAATTGTTTTTAAATAACAACAATATTCATATTTTATTTATTACCGAACATTGGTTAAAAGCTTATAACTAATGTTTAACTTCAGTAATCACCAGGTGGTCAGTTCTTTCAATAGAGAAATGATCTTAAGAGGTGGCTCCTTAATTTTAGCTAGTAAATTATTATCATGTAAAGAACGTAAAGATATCGTGAACCTCTCTGTTGAGCGAACTGTAGAAATGGCATGTGTTGAGTATGTGCACCTTATTGTTCTGAGCGTTTACAGACCCCCATGTAATATATACGATACTTTTGAGAAAATTATGGAGGAAGTTTTCACTAGAGAGAGACTGTAGACTTTAATATCAATCTCCTAAAAGCTTCCTCCAAGAATATTACATTTAGATCATTGTTTAAATCTTATGGTCTCTTTTATTTATTTTTGGAGCCAATGCGTATTTCTAAATCTAGTGTAACATATATAGATTACATTTTTATAAATTTTAAGCCGTTCAATAAATGTATAACTCAAAAATTGAGCTCTGATCACTGTGGTCAATTCGTTTCGTTACCTTATGTTCACAAAAAGCAAGTAATGTTGTTTGTTCCTTTTAATTTACCTCGAAATTTTAATCGCTATACGCGATTATTGTTTTTTTGATTATATGTCTTTTAAAATATATTCTAAGCGGTTGTTTTTGTTAAATAAATGCTACATATAAAAGAATATTTCATATTAACACGTTTATAGACAATTATGAAAAATATGTTGAGATGTGTCTAGAAATTATAAAAACTCATGCAATTCATTATTGCATTGAGGAGTGAACATATATATTTAGTAAATATTATATATTTAGCTATACTGAACAGAGTTGGAAAAAATCACGATTTTTTTTGAAATCGAGTAAAGTACGATTTTTTTTTAATCCTACTTAATCACCATTTTTTATTTTTTCTTTTATTATTTAATTTAAGAGCCCTCTTACATTTCGGCGTTATGCAAATTTAGGTATTAAACGCTCCGAGCGGGCGATGACATTGACACTGACACTTTACTTCATATCTATTAATTATCTCGCACTATGATACTGTGAGTATAACGACTAAACGCTCTTGTTCTCCCATTATACAAGTTTTCTTAGGATGGAGATCAGTGGATGGAAAATTTTTGGTGTTTGATAATTTTGTTTATGTTATCTAATTAATTTATTATAATCTATTTGATATACTTTTCATTATTTATGAACCTTAGTTTTGAAATAAGTATGTACATATAAATATTTTAAATGTTTCACGATTTTTAACCGATGTTGGTTAATAATTTCAACGAGGAAACCTTGTAATTTCGCGTTTTTTTTTAAATACTCCTCTTAACTATATTTTTGCGCAACACGTGTCCGCGCCCTCAAGGGATTGCGCGGACACAGCGCGGGGATTTCCCTTTTGACTGACATGTGAATGCCAAGCAAAAGGGAAATCCCCGTGTAGTGTTTTGTACATTTCGCTTGCAATTACGGTCTTACTTTACTTCTAACAAGCATTCATTGGTTCAGTATCGTTTACAATTGTTATTGCTGTGATGCGTGCGTGACTAATTTATTATAAATAAAATTGCTCGCAAAAAAGAGATAGGATTTGTTAACATTTCACAGAAAAAATCACTACCGAAACTAGCTGTCGGGCTATATGCAACTAAATGCAACTGCAAATGTCGAAGTTTCAAGAGATACGAGGGCTGCACTAAAAGTATCGGGAATGGAATATTTCCACTGTTCCTGTCATATTAAAATCTTTTTAATTGTATACTCCTTGGTTTTAAAAATCGAATACCATTTATTTATTTAAAAAAAGATTCTCGGTCTTATCACAAGGTTTTGTCAAACTTTTTAGTCGTTGAGAAAATGGAATTGACTCGAGAAAATTCAAGAGCGATGATTTATTGTGACTTTCGAAGTGGTTTAACACAAAAACAGTGTGTTGACCGTATGATTTCTGCATTTGGTGATTAAGCCCCATCCAAAACTGATTTCAACGTGGATGTGTCAAGCTCAGTGATGACCCCCGTCAAGGTCGTCCAAAAACTGCAGTCATTTAAGAAAACGTTGATGCTGAGCGTAAGCTGATTGAGGAAGATCAACATGTGACATACCGCGAAATTCAGGCTACTTTAGACATTGGCATGAGTCAAATACAAATAATCTTGCATGAACAATTAGGTGTAAAAAAGTTGTTTTCCCGATGGATACCGCATTCACTCTGTGAAGAGCAAAAAGCGACTTGCGTTACTTGGTGCGTCAGAACTCTCGAAAGATTCCACGCAAGATCCTCAAATGCTGTATACAACATCGTGTCAGGTGACGAATCCTGGATATACGCGTACGAATCCGAAACAAAAAACCAGTCACGAGTTTGGGTGTTCGAAAATGAGTTAAAGCCAACAAAAATTGTTCGTTCACGGAGTGTTGCAAAAAAAAATGGTGGCCACGTTTGTCTCCAAAACCGGCCATGTTACGACTATTCCTCTTGAGGGACAAAGAACGGTTAATGCAGAATGGTATGCTAGCATTTGTTTGCCACAGGTCGTTTCTGAACTTCGTAAAGAGAACTGCAACCGCAGCATCATCCTCCATCACGACAATACGAGTTCTCACACCGCACACAGAACAAAAGAGTTTTTAGAGCAAGAAAACATAGAATCAGAAAGAATCAGGCGATGTGAAATTTACCAGTATGCTGATGATACTTGCTTGGTTGCGGCTGGTAGCAATATAAACGACACTCTTAACCTCCTACAAGACGATTTTAATATACTTATGAAGTGGTCACATGATAAAGGATTAGTCTTAAATGCTGCGAAGACTAAGTTAATGTACATTAGCTCTAGTCAAAATAGGAGTAAGGTTATACCTAGGCTTATTGCGCATGACCATCAATGCCTTCACAGACGACAGGTCCAAACGAAATGTAACTGCGAATCCATAGACCTGGTAGAATCACAGACCTACTTAGGACTCGTGATAGATAGTCGCCTCAATTGGAAAGAGCATATTGAGCATGTATGTGATAAACTTCGTGGTATGCTTGCAAAATTTTCTATAATTAAGTATAAAATTCCGTATAAAATACTTATATACAGCTATATAAATCACTGGTAGAGTCAAAAGTAGCATACGGTTTGTCTAGCTATGGTAGAACGTACAGATCACATTTAGAACGTATTTATCTACTACAATTACGTATTTTAAAAACTATAGTCCCGGATAGTATTAAAAACCAGTATAAAGAATCAGATTACCACAACCTTTTTAGTCATTGCAAAATTATACCTATACACGAAAAGGTAAAGTTTACCCTTCTTATAGAAGAATTTTTCCATGAACAGTTAAAAATTGCACATACATGTGAATACTCTAAAACTCGCAACTCAGGAAAACCTAAACTAGCCTTACCTAAATACAACAATTTATATGGTAAACGTACCTTAGAATATATGATTCCTAACCTAATTAACCAGCTACCAGTATCAGTAAAATCAGAACTAAATCAATAAAATATTAAATTAAAATTAAAAAATTACTTTATGGAATGCATTACTAATAATTTAAATTATTCATAATATGTTTTTAATAATAAATATTACGATAACGCCCTAAAACAAGTGTCCTGTATAAAATATACGATCCATGCGCGGTGCATTGTGCAATAGAAGGTTACGCAATTAACTAATAAATACTAAGTGTATTTCTTTTTTCTTACTACACCCTCATATTTATTATTGTCGGTGATACCGGTACACGGTAAAGTTTCTATAAACTTATGATTGTACCGTAAAGTAATGTGTAAATAATGAATGTAATAATATATTAAATAAATAATAAAATAATAATAACCGCCGTACAGCCCCGACCTAAGCCCTAATGATTTCTATACTTTTCCTAAAATAAAGAATAAATTGCGTGGACAGAGATTTTCATCACCTGAAGAAGCTGTGGACGCTTACAAAACGGCCATTTCGGAGACCCCAACTTCCGAATGGAATGGTTGCTTCAATGATTGGTTCCATCGTATGGAAAAATATGTCAAATTTCCCGGAGAATACTTCGAAAAGCAATAAACACATTTTTAAATAGTAATGTTGTGTCACTTCCTTGATTCCCGAAATTTTCAGTGCCGCCCTCGTATAAGCATACAATGTCCTCCAGTCACTTTTTGGCATTTTTATTAGACCCAACCCAAACAGAATGCACACTGACAGTTGAAGAATAAGAAAGTGCGTTGGAGGAAGCACGAAGTCACTATGATGGTTCAGTTTTGCTACCATTGATAGTAAAGCTTAAGTGAAAATCAAAACCATTTAGAAATGTGATGTTCGCAGAAGATATAGTAAAAAATGTGGCACCACTAGAGTGGTGGATGTCACAGAAAAATATATTTAGTGAAGAGGAACAGTCAAAAATTTTGACAGACAGTGGTGAAGCAATTGTTTGGGGCGATATCTTCTTCAGTTGCTGTGGAAAGTGTTTTCCGCCTTTGGAATTGTTCAGAGCAAATTAAAAAACCGACTGGGAATTGAAAAAGCTGGAAAACTCGTTTTTTTTTTTTAAATCCAATATTCATCATCATCATCATCATCACAGCCCTTCACAAGTCCACTGCTGAACATAGGCCTCCCCCAAGTAATGCCACAAAGCACGGTCCTGAGCCACCTGCATCCATCGACTTCCTGCATATCTTACCAGGTCCTCACTCCATCTAGTGGGGGGTCGCCCTACACTACGCCTACCGGTACGAGGCTGCCACTCGAGAACCTTTCTTCCCCATCGGTTATCGGTTCTTCGAGCTATATGGCCGGCCCATTGCCACTTCAGCTTACTAATCCGTTGGGCTATGTCGGTCAATCTGGTTTTACTGCGGATATCCTCATTTCTGAGTCTATCACGCAGAGAAACTCCGAGCATAGCCCTCTCCATAGCTCGCTGAGCGACCTTGAGCGTCCTCATACGGCCAGCAGTGAAGGACCACGTCTCTGATCCGTAAGTCATCACTGGCAACACGCACTGGTTGTACACTTTAGTTTTCAGAGATTGAGGTATACCTGACGAGAAGATATGTCGTAATTTCCCGAACGCTGCCCAGCCGAGTTGAATCCGTCGATTGACCTCTCGGTCGAAGTTGGACTTACCTAGTCGGAATATTTGTCCCAGGTAAACGTACTCGTCAACAACTTCGAGCATAGTGCTCCCAACAACTACCGGCATAGGTGTGACATGGACATTAAACATAATCTTTGTTTTGTCCATGTTCATCTTAAGACCTATCCGTTGGGAGGCACTATTGAGGTCATTGAGCATAGTGCTTAAGTCCTCCAGCGATTCTGCCATAAGGACTATATCGTCGGCAAATCGAAGGTGAGTGATGTACTCGCCATTGATGTTAATACCGTATCCTTTCCAGTCCAGTAGCTTGAAAACGTCTTCCAAAGCAGCGGTGAAGAGTTTCGGGGATATAACGTCACCCTGTCTTACACCTCTCTGCAGTTGGATAGGTTTCGAGCTCTGGTTCTGTACTCGGATAGCCATCGTAGCCCTACTGTACAAACACTTCAGCACTTCGATATACCGACAGTCAACTTGGCACCGCTGAAGGGACTGCAGCACCGCCCAAATTTCGACGGAATCAAAGGCTTTCTCATAGTCCACATACGCCAGGCAAAGTGGCAAATTGTACTCTTCAGTCTTCTGTACAATCTGCCGCAGGGTATGTATGTGGTCTATGGTACTGAAGCCTTTTCGGAAACCGGCTTGTTCGGGAGGCTGGAAGTCGTCGAGTCTGCGTGCGAGGCGATTCATAATGACTCTCGAAAACAGCACGTCGACGCGGCTCAGAAGGGAAATCGGTCTGTAGTTCTTCAAGAGAGCGTTGTCGCCTTTCTTAAAGAACAAGACCACCGCACTTCTGCTCCACGCCTCTGGAGTAGTGCCACCATGGAGGACGGAATTGAAGAGCTTCTGAAGGACTTCAAGTACCGGTGTTCCACCCGCTTTCAGAAGCTCCGCTGTAATTCCATCCTCGCCTGGGGCCCTGCCGTTTTTAAGGTGCTGGAGAGCCATTCTAATCTCGCTTAGACTGACGTCCGGGATATCATCGGAATAGTGTCGGATAAGACTTGCTCTTGGATCGTTACTCACACTTGCGTGTGGCTCCAACGATGATGTGTACAGCTGCCCATAGAACCTCTCAATCTCACTCAAAATCTCAGGTGTCCCGGAAACGATGCTGCCACACTCAGTCTTCAGCCTTGACAGTTGGCTCTTTCTGGCAGACAGATCTCTGGCAAAGACTTTGGAGCCCTGGTTCCGCTCGATCGCTTCTTTAATACGAGCAGTATTAAAGTTGCGTAAGTCTCGCCGCATGCATTTGGAGATCTGTCTGTTCAGTTGCCTGTATGCTGTCAAATCTGTTGACGATTGCAGCCTCATCTCCCGTCTAACAGCCATGAGATTAAGAGTGTGATCGGAGAGTTTTTGTGTTCTTCTGCGGCGGGTCTTGCAGAACTTAGCTCCGACCGCATGGACAGTTTCCACGAGCTTGTCATTCATATCGTCCACTGCATTGCAATCTTGTAGGCACTGAAAGCGGTTGTGTAACTTGAGCTGAAAGTTTTCTGGATTTTGGATCAGAGCACGAGGGGGACGGAGCGTTGACTTCATTAGACGAGACCTCTCCAACTTAACGTTTAGGTTCAGTGTGCCTCTAACCATTCGGTGATCGCTGCCAGTTTTCACCCTTGCGATCACTGAGACATCACTGAACAGTTGGCGTCTGGTCGTCATAATGAAGTCAATCTCATTTTTTGTCGAACCGTCGGGGCTCGACCAGGTCCACTTCCTGTGGGGCCGCTTCTGGAAGAAAGAGTTCATCATAAAGAGTCCCTCTTTCTCCATAAAGTCGGCCAGCTGCTGGCCCCTTCGGTTCCGTTCCCCTACTCCAAATTTCCCTAACTTCAGCTCACCGTTTTCTCTTGTGCCTAGTTTTGCGTTGAAGTCTCCCATCAACACCGTGTAGTGGGTTTTGGAGGAATGTATGGCTTTGGAAATATCCTCATACATTTCCTCCACCTCCTCATCGGAATGTGCCGACGTTGGTGCGTAAACCTGTATGACCTTCAGCGAATACCGTTTGGTGATTCTGAGTATCAGGTACGCGACCCTCGTCGACACACTCTCAATCTGTACAACGTTGTTGACGAGAGACTTGTGGACGATAAATCCGACACCTCCTTGGGACAGATGGTCACCCTCCCGGTGATAGAACAAGTTGCCGGATTCGAGAATCACCGTGTCCTCCCCCTCTCTTCGGACCTCGGATAATCCTATAATACTCCAGCGCAACTTGTCTATCTCTTCTTCCAGCTCCAGGATCTTCTCGTCAGTCCTCAGTGTGCGTGCGTTAAATGTTGCCAGGTCGAGTCGTCGTAGGTGGCAACGGAACCTCCACCGGAGATTCTTAGCACTCCCACCTTATATTATAATAATGATATTGATTTCTCAGATTTAAACGACCCTTGATTGTAACTTAATAATTTCTAAATCATTTTTTATGTCGATTTTTGTGAAAGAAAGTGAAATGAAACATTTTTAATTAAATCATTGACATTTATTAAAAACATCATTTGATTTAAATCGTGATTAAAACAAAATGATTTATCCATGCGAACCCTGATACTGAGTAAATAATATTGAGATATTGGTGTTATTTTAAAGGGTATATCATGTACTATTATAATATAAAATAATTTTCTCCAGTAAGTATTATACTTTTCTTGTAAAACTCGAATTAAAAAATAAATAAGACAATTTTTTTTGATATTCCCACCTTTAAGCTTTATTTTCATCCTTTATTTTTATAATAAGCAATTTTGTTTTAACAAAATTAAATTCTTAATGCTTTGAGCTTTTCGTGAATATATCTTTTGTCTCGCGCGGTCGTTACATAGCAACTCGTGCGGCTTGGACGATTGAGTGGTTAAAACCATGCTTAATAGTTAATCATAATAGGTATATAAATATGAATAACTTTCACAACAACACCTTTCTTAGCATCCCCTAACGCGCCCGTCCTAAAAGAAAACGCAGACAGAAAGAAACAATGCTACAGCCAATAGAAGGCGCCGCATTGTTGTAATACATGCACATATTGAACGGGAATAATAGTCACTGAACTAGTAGTATAATGGCGTGATTCGCTGTTGATACGTTCTAGTAGGCGTAATAGTGTAATTATGAAAACTTACAGTTCCTGGATTAAGTTTGACCCACGAGCTCTCAGCTACATTTTCCATTACCACTTCTTGAGACCTTTTGTATAATACAGTAGACAGAGCAACCTGAAAAAAATACCAAACACTACATGTAACTCTCAATTATTTTCATCTGTTTTGTTTATATTTTGTACATGAATGTGACAGTAAAAACATACAAGTAAAAAATGAGTACTTGTACTGGCTAATAAATCAATTATTATTTGTAATACGAGCCCTGATCGCCAGTTTATCGTAAGCGACATTTTTACCGAAATCGCGACTTAAATCGTAAACCATACTTAAAAGTATAACGGGCAAGTTTTTCCGCCGAAATATATCCATTAGAAAGTTATAACAAATGCGAAGTTTATCCTTAGCACAACTGTTATATTTAAATGTAACCGATGTACCAATACTTTTTGTAAGGTATGTAAGTAGTCAACTAAAATTTGCAACGTAACCCGACTAGTTATCGTATCCAACATAGTATTGATTTTGCTGTTTACCATGTAGCAAAACTGTGAAATGTGGCCAGAAAAGTTTATTCTAGAGAAAATTTTATTAACCACTTCTCTGCGCTAAAAAAATAAGTCATTAGATATATAGGACATAACTAATTTTTATAGATTTTAAAGTAGTATCAGTGTCTAATGGAATAAACTATAGATACTAAAAAGGATTTTTTTCACAGAAGTCGTCTATGTCTTTTTGGGGGGGGTTCTTTTTTTTCTTTTCTCAGGGTCCTTTTGTTGTTTTTTTTTTATGTCTGATAAAAAACGCAAAACGCTATGAGTGGGCTATCTATTTACCTACGAGGGGACATTTTAAAGTTCGCAAAATGGAGGATAAGGAGTGGAAATAAAAATCCAAATTTATTTTTCCTTTTCAATATATTCACCTGCTACCCCAATACATTTTTCGGATCTTTCAATTAACTTTTGCATACCCTCAAAAAATTATTCGTCTTTGTCTAAAAAATACGCCGAAACTGGTTCCTTCACTTCTTCATCACTTTAAAACTTTCCTACGAAGTTCTTTTTTTAAGTTTGGAAATAGATAATAATCACGGGGCGCCCAGGTCAGGACTATTCCTTCCTTCAATTGTTCTAGGATTGAAGCGTAGTTATTTCCGGTTATGGAGACATCTTTATCTTTACAATTAATCAATAGGATTCTTTCTGAGTCCCAAAAGACTATCGCCATGATTTTCCCAGCCGATTGTGCCACCTTAAATTTCTTGGGTGGTGGTGTGGCTTTTTTGTGACACTGCATAGAGTCCTGTTTAGACTCAGGTTTATAATGGTGAACCCAAGTTTCGTCACCAGTAACAATTCGAGCCAACACACTCCATCTTGGTCCAAAAATGCACGAAAACACTCCACGCGCGTTGCTTTTGAGGCGGCGTGAGCATTCTAGGCACCCATCTTGCGCTGACTTTAGTCATGAAGAATTTTGAAAATGGTTGTATCAAAATGATACTCCAGTCATTTCTGCGAGCTGCTTTTTGTTTAGGCGGGCATCTTCTAATATTAATTTTACGACTTTTTGAATAATTTCTGAAGTGGTCATCTTGATCGGCCTTCATGGCCGTGGGTCGTCTTCAAGTGACTCTCTGCCTTGTTTAAAAAGGGTGTGCCACTTGTAAACCATAGTTTTACTTGGACAAGAGTCTCCGTAAACGGATGACACCTCTTCCAATATATCCTGAACTGATTTTCCGCGCTTGGTAGGAACTTTATAACGGCACGGAACTCGATTTTCTCCATATTCCACAATTTCTTCCCGATTAACTCGTTTTGTTGACGATAACTCAAAGACTAATGATCTAATTACAATATAACCCGGTATTTCTTTATATGATGATGATGTCAGATTTTAGCTTTATTACTCTCAACAATAAAGAATATATACATTGACACCACTTGCTCTACCAGGCCTACCAGAAGAGAGCAACACTAATACAATAGATGATAGACAACAGGAGAATTTTATGCTTGTTCCACTTATGACAACGGAAAGTGAATTATGACTAACATCTTAAAGTAATTCTACCGCATGCAATGACATAACCAGTTTTAGAAAATCATAATTAGAATCTAACATATGACTTGATTTTACCATCAGACTATAATCAAAAACAAAGTTATTTGACTGTAGCTGCAAGTAAATTCTTTGTTGATTATAGTCGTTACAGTTTTTTGTTGAAGACCAAGAAATTAGCTACTCTTCTGAACCTTCCTCCCTATGTGTAATACATACTGACTTAAATAGAAACCGTGTTATGAAAGTCATGTTAGTTCATTTTTCTTCAATAAAGGAGGAGGTTTTCAATTCGACTGAATATTCTTTTTAGCCGACTTCCAAAAAGGAAGAAATTAATCCAGATAGAACCGTAAAAATAAAAAAGCTACGGAGGCTGACGTTACCAAAATTATTCAAACAATGAATGATAAGAAAAGCCCCGGGTATGATGTTATTCGCGCTCGTGATGTAAAATACATTTCGAAATCAGTGGTGCCTCTAATTAACTACTTAATTAAACAATGTCTAAAAACGTCAATTTATCCAGATTTACTAAAAATAGGTGTTATCCGATTAATCTATAAAAAAGGCAAACAATGACTTTAACAATTATCGTCTTATAACTATTCTCTACCGCCTAAATAAAATAATTTAAGTTATTTAAACAGTGAAAACAATTACCTTATTACTTACAGTATAATAAATTCAAAATAGTTCGGTTTTCAAAAAAATAAATAAAAGCACAATGCAACTATTACGGAAATTTACTGATGAAATAATTATCTAGAAAATAAAATGCATAGTTTAGTATTATTTATTAATTTGGGTTGGGTTTTAAATTAAGTCGCCTGAATTTGAGGATTCTGTCACTGTGGGGGGGGAGGTCAAGCTTTTAAGATTCGCGCGCGATATTTCTACTATAGGGCGCGCCGCGCTGGTGTTCCAGTGCGGTGGTGTTGGTAGTTTGGCGCCTTTGCTCGTGCATTTGTCTGCCATCTGCATTTTGTGCGCGTGCAGTGTGGACGGCGGAGCGTGGTTATAATTTTGTTGTTTATCATCGAGGTTTTAGTCTTTTTGAGTGAGTTTTGTATGCCAACGGCCTACTTGTCTACGAGTACTCATCTACTATCCAGAAAAGGAATTACTTAATATTTTGAAGGGCAAGTTAGCTTCCTAAGATCTATCTTTGGAAGAGGACATAGCATTCGTAGTGACTGTAAGAGTGATGTGTGCTATGAGTCGACGAGTGCCTCTGTATCATCAATTATGTTTCGCACATGGTATCTAATGTGCAGTGCTGGATGCTATATACAAAAGGAATCAAGATGAGCAAGAAGAAGAAGGGCAAGAAGAAGAAGGGCAAGAATCTGAAGGTAGCAAAGAGGAAACATATGAGGATACTGACTCTAACAGTGATAGTGAGGGAGAAGAATTTGTAGTTGAGCAACATCTGAACAGGGGCCGAGACCTACATTTATACGGGGATGTAAATTTAAAAATGTAATAGAGAAAGTGCGAAAAATAGTAAATTTTTTTAGGAAGTCACCCACCAGAAAAGAGATTCCCGATATTTATCTTCGAGAAGAGCAGAATAAAATTGGTTTGATCTTAGACTGTAAAACCAAGTGGAGCAGTTTAGCCGATATTATCACAAGATTTTTGGCATTAAAAGACCCTATTTTATAGATACCACGTTTAGTTTAGGTGAGCTAGCTTTGCTGCAGGAATTGTCCACTTCTTTGAATATTGTAAAGGCAACAGTAGTACTACGGAAACAGCCCTTCAATTTATGGTAGCTAAACTTGAAAAGGCGAACTGATTTATCAGTGACAGGCTACTTGAAGCTCTGAAGAATAGAATTGCTCAGAGACGCCTACCAAATTTTATCTGCACATTAAACTATCTCCACAATTCCAGTAAATATTACGCAGAGCCACCTTCGTCAACCTTTCCATTACCAGGCAATAACATTAATACAGAAGTAATAACTGAAATTAACGACAGATATTTTTCTAAAAGACAGAACTCTGATAATGACGACGATGACATAACCTTAGTTCAACTTCAGCAGCAGCAACGCCAGCATCAGCAACAAAACGAGTCACACCAGGTAACATTTGTAATAAGTAGGGCCCGGATTAATATGTAAATCCATATTTTTATTTGAAATGGTTTTTGTTCTTAAATATATTTTCTACATAAATTATTATTATTATTTTATTCTTTATTGCACCAAAGATTTTGTACAAAAGGCGAGCTTAATGCTATATGGCATGCTCTACCAGCTATCCTTTGGTAGAACAGAGAGTGAGTTATGGGCAGTAAAGTTGTCATGATCACATTCAATTCAAAAATGTACATGCTACACATACATAAAATATATATATATATATATATATATATATATATACATATTTATACATATATACATACATACATATATATATATATATATATACATTTCCATAAATTTATATACAAATAACTATAAACATATAAAGTAAGTGGACTCAAATTTTTTGGTTACGGATATATTCGTATAGTTTTCTTTTAAAAACGTTTTTAGCAGGTATTATTCGCAGGTCAACAGGCAATTTGTTCCAGAGGGAGATGGAAGTTAATGTGAAAGAATTTGACATAAACCCAGAATGAAACCCAGAAACCCAGAATGGAGAGGTGTAGACAGTAATAAATTGTGTGAAGATCGGAGATTGAGAGAATGAGTGTCACTACGGAATTGGAATCTTTCTTTTAGGTAAAGGGGTGAGGAAGAATCAATCATTAAGAACTGAAAACAGAGAGGACAGCATTCTAAATTCTCTGCGCTGGCGTATAGTCAACTACTTTAATTGGGAGCGAAATTCTGATACGTGATCGTATTTGCGCAGGCCAAAGATGAATCGTATGCAGTTGTTAAGTAACCTGTCCAACCTGCTTAGCAGCTCCTGATATTTATTAGATGATATTTTGATCAAGAAAATGCAATTTCTATTTTCCATATTTCAAGTATGAATCCATACTCCACAAGAAATTAAATAAATTTATCCATATCTTCATTATTT